AACTTTCCAAGAGTGTCAGGAACACACACATATATGCCAACAATTACTACTGGATGCAGGTTTCCTGATTAATGAAGAAAAATCACGCCTAATACCCAATACCCAAAGAAAACATCTGGGATTTATAATCGACAGCGAATCTCAAATGCTGGAGCTTCCTCAGAAAAAATACAATCGTCTACAAAAAGATTTAAAGACCCTCAAGAGCCTCTGCCTGCAACAAAAACCAACGACGTTAAGAAAATATGCGCAGATCCTTGGTTTCCTGCTTATTTGTATACCAGCAGTTCCATAGGGAGAGGCCCATTTTTGTGTTTTTGAGAGAGTCAAGACCCAGCTAAAACAGCCGATCATCAATTGGGAACAAAAAATCTATCTTCCAACAAGTATACTAGAAGAAATCGAATGGTGGAAAAACCTCAAACATCCCTGTCAAAAATCCTTCTGTCCTCCTCAAATCACCCATAAAATTACAACAGATGCGTTGACTGGAGGGGGTTGGGGAGCTATCCTCGGAAAAACCAAAATTTCAGGGATATGGAGACCAAACGATCAGGACGCATTTGATCTCCTTGAACTAAAAGTCTTGCGTTTAGCTCTTGAAACGTTGGAGGAAAAAGGCATAAATTTCCAAAAAGCATACATTGTGTTTCAAGTGGATAATACAACAGCAGTTACATATACCAACAAAGCTGGAGGAATGGTTAACCGTCTTAATACTGAGGCACAACAGCTATGGAAATTTCTCGAGAAACATCAAGCCTTGGCAAAAGCCGTCTATATCCCATTGGCAAAAAATCCAGCAGACGAATTGGCGAGAATTTTGACAAGAAACGAGGCAAAGAATCTTGATGCTGAATGGCAATTGAAGAAACAATATTTTGAGAAAACATGCAATCATTTCAAAAGTTACCCAACAATTGATTGGTTTGCGACTGAAATAAATACGCAAATACCAAGATTTTGCTCATGGTACTACGAGTCTCAAGCAGCATGTACAGATGCGTTATTACAAAACTGGAGTGATGAAATTGGCTTCTTCTTTCCTCCATTTGCACTACTAACCAGGGTCATCCAAAAACTAAAAGACGACCGAGCGACAGGGATCCTCATACATCCCAACTGGCCATCTCAACCCTGGTGGCCTCAACTGCTGCAAAACCAGAAAGCCTTCCTGGACCTTCCCAGCCTAGCCAAAGCACTTACGCTTCCGCAAAACCCAACTGCATGCCATCACCTTCACAAATCAAGCCTACAGGCATCTCTTTTTCAAAACAGCAGTTAGACCACGTTGTACAAAAAACAATTGCAGCAGCAAGAGCTCAGACGACGCAGAAACAATACCAGAGTATTGTAACAAAGTTTGAAAAATTTGCAAGCCAAAATGGACAAAATGTACAAAATACGACCTCAGATACTTTCTTGAGATTTTTGGCCGTATATACCGCGGTACCTCAAAAATACTCATTTGGATATATACGACAAATGAAATCAGCAATTATACAATGGTTTGCTGACAACAGCAGAGAATCGGTCATTGACCAGCAGAAGTTGGAAAAGTTCATGAAGGGAGCCAAAAGAACATCCAAAAATTTTGAGCCGAAAACTCATCAGAAAATGTCTTGAGCCTTTTCGGGATTGCTAAAGTTCCCAAGTTTCCCTCTTTAGCCAATCCTTATTAATCAGACCCATATATAGCGGTTGATTCACCGGAACTCATAGATGATGG